TTTATAAAGCTGTTGTTTGTAGAGGTCTAGTCTTTAAAGAATCTTGAATTGAAGTGAGGCAACCATAAATACATTACACAAGAATTTTCGCTTACATTTTATATTCTTTTCTTCAATACAGGCCCATTACATTTATATTGAAGTTACAAGGCATCACAATATTTTTTTGAATAACCATTATTTGGATGAACAATTTGAATGGTTAAAATCTTTATAGCTATGATATTTGGGGTTTTTTTTGCCATTGTTTGAAATCTTCGAATGATCAATTTGGACGGTCAATTTTTTTTTTTTTTGAAGCAACAAATATTTGATTAAACTATTCAAACGGTTAAATTATTCTTAGCTACTATATGTTATATACAGTTTTTTTTTGTTGAATAAATAAATTAACCGTTAAATTTTTCGTCGCAATCATATTATTTTTTGTTATTTCAACACATCACAGAATTTTTATTTTAATGAATAATCTATTTTCAAGTACTGAAAATATTTATGGAGAGGTTTTATGTAGTGATCCTGATAAGGATTTCGAAATCCTTGAAATATTAGCGTTGGAGATAATTCAGAAAGTCTTAAACAGCAAACCACAGCTGCGCCTTCTTCATCTATATATAGCACAAGCAATGTAGATAATGATATATACGATAATTTATATAATATTTATTTTGATCAAACAGCTATAGAGATGGCTAAATTGTTTGCTGATTCAACATTACAAGTAATGCAAGAACAGGGTCAAGAGGTCAATATAAATTGGTTGGCATCGGAACTTGATACAATATCTAATGAAAAATTATCGTGGAAAGTTAATAATCACCAAGAAAATGAACTAAATATAGAACTTAGTTCTTCACATATTAAATATGTAAATAGCACATATATTATAATAGATGATCTTAATAGAACATCACAACGATGCTCTCATTCTGTATCTAAACCATTAAAGCAACTAGGTGGAATTTGGGAATTAGACTTTGAGACGGTAAATGAAATCTTAAGGTCAAATGAAAATGGAATACATTCGTTAGAAATTTGCTCAAATCACTTCAATTATGATAATAAGCAATTGCATAGTTGCCAAAAAAGTGAAGTTAGTATTGACAAAGCACTAATTTCTAGAAAAAAATGTTTATTTTGCAGATTTGACAAATACATATTTAGTCGAGGTTATTGTTCAGAACACTCGTGGAAATTATGTAATTGAAACTTACGAATAGCATATAATGTATTAAAAGTTTGCCCTATATTTCAAAGTAATAATTTCGTTAAGCAGTCTACTGGTATTAAGCGTACATGATATCATGTTTTATGTCTGAGGGTGGACATTTATATGAACAAAGAAGACGAGGTGCTGTCCTTCTCTTTGATTGTACAGATCAACATTGTGACGATTCTATAAAGTCTCTCCAATTTCTAGCCAAGTGGATAAATGACATATCTGAATCTGCTGAAAGGAATACTCAATGTCTTCTTCTTGATAAAATTTTTAGAAAAGTTATTGCTTTTTTTGAAAAATCAAAATTAGCCAAATTAAATAAAGAAGAAAATGTTAACGATGAGGAGTTGGAAAGTGATATGATTAGAAATGACGAAAATGAAGTAAATCAAAAAAAAGATCAAATTCATTAAGCTTTTTAGGGATAAAAATTGTGTTCAGATTAAAAAAAAGTAAACATTAAAAAATTTTCTACTAGTGAAACATTCTGTAATGCAATAAAAAAACACCCAGCACAAATGGGTGAAGCTTTAGCAAACTTGTTTTGGCACTCTAGACCTGAAATTCATGTCAATAAAGAGAAATTAGAAACATCTAGTTCTTTAAAGAAGTATCAGAATGGATTTCCATCAGTGCTTTTAAATTTTTTTACAGTCTAATAAATACAATACAACAAAATAAATGGAAGGTCATAGTGAGAAAGCAGAAAGAAAGAGGAGTTTTGGAAAAAGGCTATGATAATACATTTGCCAAAAAAATTTCTCTGTTTTTTTGTTTTCGTATTATTATCAATAATTTTTCCAGGACTAAATGTTTGGTTCACTCACATATTTAGTTCTTTGTGTCAGAATCTCCGCCTGTACACATCACTATATTCAATATTATATGCAGCTGGTATAGTAGCACATACCAATCGATATGAGAAATATTTGGAAAAATAGTGGCATGAACAAACTAATATAGTTGAGAAATTATGGATAGGAGAAGACGTATAGAACATTTGTATAGTAGATAATTTCAATTTACAAGAGAGCACATTTAGTTACGATAATCTTTATAATATAACACAAAACACAGCTCATCTAACGCTTCAAATGGTATAGCAATATCGATTTCCACAAGCTATATCAAACCTAATAAAATCTAACAATACTGAGTTACTATCCTTTCAAATTGGACGATCAACATTTATTGACCAGTAAATACAAAATCTTGAAAAAATCTTTCACTCATTTGTTGAAGATAAATGGTTAGATTATGATGCTATTGATATAAGATCTGAATTCAAAAAAAGCATTCCAATAGGATGCAATTTACCACAACTAAATGTTGTTATATTAACTCCAGGAGATAATCTGTGTAATAATATGAACGTTCATGAGGCAATAAACATGTATTTTGATGATGTAGGTGTTGGCACCAATAAATTTTTAGATATATTTGCAGACCAAGCGATATTTCATAGGTTAGTTCCATTATGTACAATAAAACCTGAAATTTGTTTATTGCTTGGTAGCTGGCATACCAACAAATACATGTTAAATACCTTATTAGCAGTTTTTTCAGATCACAGTATATATAAGTTAGCAGCTAGTCTGGGGTTCATTTTCTTAAAAAACTTGAAAAGGTAGTAGATTATACAGCTACATGCAGGGTTATTGAATTGATCTGGGTCACAGTAGGCAATGCTCTTACAGCTTATACCAAACGTAATAATTTAAATATAGGAGATATTGAATCCGGAAGTAATAACATTGTAAAAGTTTGGTATCGATTTTTTATATGGGCAGGGTTTTGGGTTTGCTATAAAATTGGGATTAGACACAGTGATCATAAAATGCAATATCATAGTTTGGCCGCTTTTGCTCCCCTTTTTGCAGTAGCTGGATGATATAATTATGCAGAGTCAGTTACTTATTATCTGGCTCAAATAGGTAATGATCCTATGTTGCAAGTTTTATTAGATCTTGCATGTTCAATAAATATAATGAAACTGTGATATTATTTAGCACTTGATAAAACCCTTGAGTCTTATGGAGTAAAATATGTGAAACAAAATATTGGAAAGTACTTGGGTACTATAGATAATTTAAAAGAAAGAGTTTCATCTGTTCAATCAGAAAGAGCACGGATGAATTTATTGTTAAGTGAGTTTGTTGGTGACGTGCTAGCTACATATACTGATTGTAATTTGAAATCAAGAAAAGAAGCATTATAGAAATTAATAATTGAACTTTTAGAGGTGTTTAGTTCACCTGAACCAACAACACATTCTTTATTTTCTAATACATCTCAGAATTATGACGAAGGATTTTATAGGCTTTTTGCTTGCTATAATATTGGTATAGAAAGGCTTTATAACATTTATAGACAGGACATAGAGAAGATAGTTGAGCGTGATATA